ACAGAGGCACCAACAACCAAGGCTGACTCTCCCACCACCCCCAAACCTGAAGAAACAACCCCAGAAGCACGAACGACAAAGGCTGACTCTCCCACCACCCCAAAACCTGAAGACACAACACCAGAGGCACCAACGACCAGGGCCGTCTCTCCCACCACCCCAAAACCTGAAGACACAACCCCAGAGGCCACAGAGGAAACAACAACCAAGGCTGACTCTCCCACCACCACAAAACCTGAAGACACATCCCCTGAGGCTACAGAGGCAACAACAACGAAGGCAGACTCTCCCACCACCCCAAAACCTGAAGACACAACACCAGAGGCACCAACGACCAGGGCCGTCTCTCCCACCACCCCAAAACCTGAAGACACAACCCCAGAGGCCACAGAGGCACCAACAACCAAGGCTGACTCTCCCACCACTGCAAACCCTGAAGAGACAACCCCAGAGGAAACAACCACCAAGGCTGACTCTCCCACCACCTCTAAACCTGAAGACACAACCCTGGAGGCAGCAACCACCAAGGCTGACTCTCCCACCACCCCTAAGGTCAAGAGGACTACCCCTGCAGCCACTGAGGCTGACACCACTGCCATACAGAAAACAACACCTATTGAAGTGACAGTTACTGTCCCTGGATTAGTAACAGCTGCTAAAACAGCCCCAACTACTCAAAGTAGTGTGGCAGTCACAACTAGGAAGGAAACACCCATACCTGAAGCAGACATAATGGTTTCAGAAACAACAGCAGAGAAGAAAATTACAACTCCTGCACCCAAAGTAGCAACGAGCAGAACCGCAAAAGACACGACTACAGCAGTACAAAGGATAGTGTCAACTGCAGCTAGGACTACTGAGATCATAACAATAACTGATAAAACAGACAAAACAACAGCTAAAACTGTTACTTCTCCTATAACTGAAGAGCCGACAAGTAAAATAGAAACAACCACGGTTACCAAAGAGATAGCAACACCCAAGAAAGACAAAACTACTGTGCTCAAAGACATTTTAACAAGTAGGAGACCCACAACTACTGTAAGTATGGTGATAACAGCTAAACCAGATGACTCTCCTAAAGATACAGATGGTATTACAAATACAACTCCTACAGCCAAGCAAGCGGTCACTACAGCAGCTGAATCAGAAGCAACTACTGTGCACAAAAAGACTGCAACAATGGCTGCAAAAAAAGAAGTCACCCCCGCTAAACAAGACAAGACTCCCATACCAAAAGAAACTCTAACAGCTAAAAAAGAAGAAAGCCCTGTGGGAACAGCGACTGTAACAACAGCAGCTGCAGCAGCTACAACTCCCATGCCCAAGCCCACTGTGTTGACAACTGCCAAAACAGATTCAACTCCTAAACCAAGGCAGATCGTGACAACAGTTAAAAAAGACACAACTATGGAAACTAAGCAGACCGTAACAGCAGCAGCTAAAGTGAGCACAAGTACTACTTGTGGTGTTGTAGAGACAACAACAGCTGGTAAAAAAGTAGTAATGACAATCAAAGAAACTAGCATCACACCTGAAAAAGAAATGGAAGATGCCACTGAAAAGGCCCCTAGCATTGACAAGGGAGAGGAAACTACAGTTACCAAAGAAACCACTACAAGAGATAAAAAAGACACAATAGAAGAAATGTTTATTGTTTCTAAAGGGACATCCAAGCCAACTATACATTTCGAGGAGGTTACTGACACAAGAGATGAGCCTCACCCATCCAACCCTGAAACTCTGCCAGTAAAAGAAGAGCCTGAGATAAACAACAAGCCTTTAATACAAACTGCGGACTTGCCAATTTTGTCTGGAGAAAAACAAGGTAATTGCATTGCAGTAGGTACAAAAGCACCAATAACTCAAACAGAGAGCACAACAAAACACGTGAGTAAAGGACATGCAAGACCTGTCTATCTGGTGCCAGAAGAGTGTGGCACTCATATCCTGGTGGTCAACCATGACCACGGTGCTAGAGCTGCCAGCATCTTGAATACTGGTACCTCAGTTTTCAACTGTGTTATGGAAATTCTCCATGTAGTTTAGAGCGTGATCTTGTTTCAGTAATTGGTTTCAGTCATTGGTCCATGAAAAACATTTGCTATAAGTACTGTGGAAGATGCAAACACAAGAAATCAGGGACAAAGAAGATACATTTCTAAGTCCCATGAAAACATTGCTAGGCTGAATATCCACTATTACTCACGGTACCTAACCTGTCATTTTGTAGTCACATACAAAAAATGTCACTAAGACAGACAAGACATCTTTTCCTTGTATTCTCTTTCCTTTGTACTTTTTGCCACAACATTTTTCATGTCCTCACAGTTTATTTTAATCAGACATAGACCCTAGGTTCTTGGGCAATTTTTCAATCATATATTGACATATATTTGGGGGGGAGGGGAGGTTTTTACATGGAAAATACTTGTATTTTTGTCCAAACCAGATTAATGCTTCCTTAATATTTAACTGAAAGTAACTGTAAATGCTTTTTTTAAGAAATAAGGAGGGGGAGGGGAACCCACTTGAGCAGCTTGGAGAAACACCAAGTAAACATCCCGGAGCATGAAGAAATTAAATGAGGAATGTAGCATACAATGCATTTATAGGTCTTTTTCTGAATTACAGGTACTCAGGTAAGCAATAAGCGATGATATCCATACCTAGTCAGTTAAACGTCTGGTCTTGCACTCCTGGGAGTCAAGGCTCCAAGGCTCCCAGGCTCCACGAAAGCCAAACTTTCCAAGAATATCTCTCAAATGAGTAATTAATCCCTTTGCACGGCAAGTGCCAGGCAGAAGCCTGAACGACAGAGAGACCTGAACGTCGCCCGACACAAGCAATCCCATTTAACAGCCATAGTGCTACTGGCAGCGGGCAGGGGAGGTAACGCGCTTTCTGGTAAATGTTAAACAATCTCAAGCCACTGTGTTTTGCAGAGAAAGACCTGTGCAGCGGGAAGCCGGCAGATGGCATGGTGGCCCTGCCCAACGGCACCCTGGCCGTCTTCCGAGGTAGGCCTTACCCCTCAGCCACATCCTGAGGGCGGGAGCGAGGAAAGGCGGGAGGGGGATCCGCGTTTCCACCGCCTTTCTCCCTGCGTGCGTCCGTCTGTCCGTCGGTCCACACGTGTTTCACCACGTCTCCTCCCGCCGCGCAGGTCACTACTACTGGCTGCATAAGCGGCAGGAGGCCGCCGACGACCAGCCCCCGCCGGATCAGCGACGGCTGGGGCATCCCGTCCCCCATCGACGCCGTCTTCTCCAGGTGCAACTGCGACGGCAAGACCTTCTTCATCAAGGTGGGAGGCCTCCGCTGCGGGGAGTGAGCGTGAGGGGCCGGTCGGCTTAAAAAAAAAAGGTGCAAGCTTTGAAACGCAGCCCCGCGGAAGAGGAGCCTTCGGTTGCTCTGGGGCTGGGCTGCTCATTTTATGGAACAAGTGGCGTTTTCAAACGGCGTGGTGGGTTTGCAGCTTTGTGGGTGAAGTGTCTCTTCCCCCGCCGCCCCTCATCTGCGTAGAGATGGTGCTTATCAGGAAAAAACTCAATTATTTTTTTCCCCTGTCATTGGCTGGGAGACAAAGCATTGAGAGAATAACTGATCATTGAGTCATGTTTACATACAAGCCACACTTCAACAAAATCTAACTCTTTAAAATATGGGTATTTGCGGTGGGTTGACCCTGGCTGCATGCCAAGTGCCCACCAAAGCTGCTCTATCGCTCCCCTTCTCAACTGGACAGGGGAGAGAAAATATAATGAAAAAGCTCGTGGATAGAGGTAAGGACAGGGAGATCACTCAGCAATTACCGTCACGGGCAAAACAGACTCGACTTGGAGAAAATCAGTTTAATTTATTACCAGTCAAAACTGAGTAGGAGAGAGGAGTTTGTGTCCCGTTATTTTGCGGTTTGTTTTGGTTTGGGTTTTTTTCCCCTTCTTAAATATCTTATCACAGAGGTGCTACCACCATCACTAACTGGCTCGGCCTTGGCCAGCAGTGGGTCCGTCTTGGAGCCGGCTGGCATTGGCTCTATTGGACATAGGGGAAGCTTCTAGCAGCTTGTCACAGAAGTCACCCCTGTAGCCCCCCCGCTACCAAACCCTTGCCACACAAACCCAATGCAGTATTTTATAGTGTCTTTCCCTTGCCCGCACATGGCCTAAATTAGCTCCTAATACATTTTCCTTCCTGAAAGATGATAATGAAATGCACAGACCTTATTAAAGACATTATACAGTTATTTCTCAGTTTATCACTCAGTCCTGGAATTCAAGCAGCTTTTTCTACCTGTGAAAATTTAGAGATTTGGAAAGCAAACAGCTTTGTTTAGTAACCACTCTTAACAGTTCATTTCTAAGATACTCTATTCCTACTCAAAGGCAGTGATAAAAGACTGCAGAAGGTATTTTATGAAGTTGTAGTATTTTTTACTGTTTTTAATGGATGCAGGAGGAGTGGTTCCAGTCAGTTTTACAATATAGATAGCGAAATGCTAGTGCTATGATTATTTTTCATGTCTGTGTTGAAGCTCAATTACCAAGAAGGAATTTCCTCTAAAGCTCACTTTTTCCTTAAATCATTAGGGTCCCCTATACTGGCGTTTCACTAATGGTGTTATGGACAACGGCTATCCCAAACCTCTCGCAAATGGATTTGCGGGCCTAAGTGGGAAAATAGTAGCAACCCTCCCTGTGGCAAGATACAACAACAGACCAGAATCCGTTTACTTTATCAAAAAAGGTATGTCTCGTATTTCAGAAGTTTACAGATGAACCAAAGGTGCTTGAATTGCATTATTCAGGAATAAAACACCATTTCTCTTGACTGAAAGATATCTCTCTCAAAACCAGAAACATGTGATGTCAGAGCATGCTAGGTGGTCAAAAAATAGCCTGAAGCTGTAAAACTTTGTATTAGTACTTACAGACCTTTAAGTGCATTTTAAAATGGACAGGACTGTAAGGGACAGAATCCAGCATCTTAGTGGACAAACACTAAAGTAAATTTTATCTGGTGGGAAAACTATTTTAGTCTCAAGTTAATTAGAGAAGGGAAGGCTTTAACTTTACTAGTTCATAACTATGTATGGAAATCTCCCTCCCTATTTGTTATTCCATTAGTGTAATTTCCTTATCTTATATGAATGATGTACTACCAACATAAGAATAAGAAGCAGAGGTTAAGGAAATACAAATCTTTTTCTGGACTCCAGCCCTCCTCTCATGCCACCTAAAATTATGGTCTTACCCTCTCCTTGATAAATAGGAATGGTGGCAGCAAAAGCAGATCCCCTGGAATTGTATTTACTATAGTAACTGTAATGAACCTGCAGGAGGTATCACTACATCTGGAAGCACATGTTGGATTTAGAGAGCAAGGCTTTTATCTCAAAATGCAGGAATGGATATAAAAAGCTGAAGACTGAAACAGCTGTAGATGTATTAAAATTATGCTATTGATTTCCTGTGTGTGATAGATACCGTGTGATACAGATATCAATGACATTTTCATATCCGATCTAGCTGGTGGGGTTTTTTTACTCAAATGAAACAAATGTCTGTTTTAGATGGCAACATGCAACAGTACGTGTACAGACAAGAACCAGCCAGGAAGTGTCGAAGAAGAGCCCAGGTTACCGTAAGATACCCAGCTTATGTCCCAAGACTTATAATAAGGAGACGCTTTCAACGTGCAGTAAGAATGCCAACTGTTATTCAGACTGTCAGAATCAACCAATATCCATCTGGTAATTTCTGTTTATTAAGTTTCTTTTATACAATCGTTTTGATCTTTGTAGTTTCTGAAACACAACATTCTGTTCCATTTTTTCAAATATAGTACTTTTAAATTCTTTTTAATCCAATAGATCTTGCTTGCTGTAGATTATACGAGTAAATGATAGCTTACAGCAGACACAATGTGACACCTCCTAAATTAAGTTTTCTTTTGCTTGCAGGAGTTTTGCATAAGGAAGTCAAAATGACTGCCTACTGGCGGGGACTCCCAAAAGTAATTCATTCAACTATATCACTACCCAACTACAATAAGCCAGATGGCTACGATTATTATGCCTTCTCTTACAGTAAGTTAAAGCTAATGCAAGTTACTATACATTTCAAAAGACTAAGGGATGGGGAAGAAAGATGCCCACGTATCTCTGAGCTTTCCAAAGCATCAGGTTACTGCTTGTGATTCTGCAAGACTAATTTTAAGCACTACTACAAAAAGTCCTGAGAATTAAAATGTTGCCTGTAGTCAACAGATATTTCTATTAAAAATCAATAGTTACAGGACAACTAGCAGCAACGAGGTACAATGATTCAAACTAGCCAGCTGTGGAATGCATTGCTGTAAGAGTTGAGGCTTATAAAGTGACAAAAAAACCTGACATATTATAATAATGATAGAGTGAAATCTTTGGACCACTACACATCGATAGTTTTTTCACTGGCTTCTATGGAACTATGTTTCTGACAAAACAAAACAAAAATGGCAGGGACATGAACCATTTTGCTTCACAGGAAAAAATTATTTATGATTCTAGATTAGGTAGATCCTTTCACTCTAGCCAGAATCAGGTAAAAGCATTCCTCAGAATTTTCTGGATTATTCAGAAAAAAAATTAGCTCTAAGAACTAGCCATATCCAAATACAGGATACTAAGGTAAGCCTCTAGCAGTATGATCTAATTCCTAACTTTACATAGGCCAGTTCACACTTGGGGACCACAGAGTTCCCACTTCCATAGTCAGTGCAGGATTGTTTTGTTTCCAGTTGTTTGATTTCCAAATTCGTAAGACTATTTCTGTGTTCTAGCAGTACAAGAGTATTCCTCCCTACCCCCTCTTCTTGGGACAGATTTAATTATTAGCAGTACTGTAAAACTTAGCTAAACACAAAGGACATGTGAAAAATAAAGTTGAGGACAAAAATTCATTGTTATAGCCTCTCAACTCCATATATATATGTGGAATGAAAAAATCTGTTATTCATGCCTAAATGAAATTAAAAGGAAGGCTTTAACTTCAAGATTCTTTCCATGTACTAAATTAGTTTCTGGAATTTAATTCTGACATATCTTAATTTCAGATCGGTACTACAGTTTGGATGTTGGCAAAAGAATAGCAAGACCTGTTACTGCTCTGACAGGAAAGACTGTATCCAAAGACTGGTACAACTGTCCCAGCAAGTGATGCACAGCAGAGGATTTTAAAAAAAGATGCCATTTGAATGTTCACATTTTGTCTAATTTTATTAATAAAGACATTGAAATGTGTGCACACAAATCTAAGTATAAAATGCTGCTTTAAGCTCTGGCTTCATTACACTAAAGCAAACATAGGCAAACTGGCACTTTTGTATACACAGCTGTAATAACTTTAAAGATACTTTAACTAATATTTCCTCTGTTCAGGCCTCCTCTGCCTCCCATTGCATGAGTTACACCTGTGTTGGGAAAGAAAACAAGTACATTAATAGAAATTCTTCTCACCCTTTTCATCAACCATTGGTACATGTGATACTTCATCCTTCCGTAACGAATTGCTACTGCAGAGCAGCACTTCCTTTCTGGTATAATTCAAGCTCCTCCTCCTTCCCCTAAAGCCTGGTGATATGGATACATTCTACTTCTGTCCTTTAAAAGAATGTTCCTGACTTGTGATCCTATCTCAGGCCTGTGCCAAAAGAACGCCTATAGCATTCTTACTGTATTTGAAATCAGTTAGTCCCTTCCTTTTGTTATTGAAGAAATGGTGATAGACTAGAAAATCTATCCTAAGTCTACCTCCTCCCCCCCGTGCTTTTTTTTTTTTCCTTTAAAATACCCGATACATGTATTTCAATGCTACTATCAAGTCTTCTACAATGTTAAAATAATGCCGAACTGAATATAATACATCCAAGAGTTTTTCTTAATACAGAAGTTGCAAACAATAATTTATTGTCATGGTTTAGCTCTATACTGCATTATAAAAATCTGTAATACTTCCATAAACTGTTTTCCGTTGTTTTTTTTTTAAAATCAGTGTAAGACATAGTGAGATACTAACTGGAATCCCTGCGTACCAAATGGGAAACTATGTAATGTTAAAAACAAAGATTCCTAAACTTATGTCCTAACGTGATTTTTTTTTTTTAAAGTCTTTTAAAAATTTGCAAAGTTTAAGATCTACTGCACTCTACTTTCTCTCCACTGACAAGAACCAAGTGCCAGATAAGAAAGTTTGCCCATCTGAAAAACGCTCAGACTAACACACTAAAACAAAACTACAGAGCTCTCAGGGTAACATTGAAAACTAGGGCAGGGGTGCTGTATTATTTAATGTCTTACAAGCAAACACAGGCATATAAAGTAGTACTTCATGTATGGTCCCCACAGAAGAATGTATTAAAAACTTGTTTTAAAGAAAAAGAGTCTGAATTCAAGCAACCATGAACACTTACCCCTCTGTCTGTTGAACTGACGACCACGAACACCAGTTCTTAATGTTGGTGGCTGAAGTCTGACACGTCGAAATGGCTTAGGCTGATTACTGCTTGTGTCTGTGAAGAAGTGGAAATGCAGGAAAGAATGTCTGTGTCTAGTACAGTTTCTCACTGTTAATGTTTACATGATTTGATATGCATTATGCTCTTGAATTTACTTTAAAATTATGAAGGTGCATCCTTATTTCATTGACTTCTCTGATATAAATAAAAGCCTCAAAACAGGTAAGTTTGGGACTTCTTTCATCACCTATGCTAGGTGGTAAATTGGTAACTCAACAGTGATATACTTACTGTTCTTTGACAATTTAATTGAATGAAAAAATATTTTAAAATCTGACCTCAAACATAACAGTGGATAGAATCACCAAAGTATCAGTAACTTCCGCTCATGAAGCATTCTTACTATGGCCTGCTCTAGTTACTGCGGTCCAAGTAAAAATTGTTTGCCATTAAGGCTATAGGCATCTGTCCTGGTTTCGGCTGGAATAGAGTTAATTTTCTTCCT